AGGGCGCAGCGGGGAAGGCCAGCCACACCGGGCCCCCGCCACGGGCTGCCGCCCCTCGGGAGCTGGGAAATTCCAGGCATGACCCCTGCGAGCTGCAGAGGAGCTAATCCCCTAATCCAGCTTCATGTTACATTAGAAAATTAAAACCAGCCGTGCTAATGGGAGAGACCCTACTCATCGCCAGCAACCCCATCAGGTCTGATCTCACTCTGGATGGGGAGAGGAAGAGGAAAGGGAATGGAGGGAGCTACAGCATTTCCTGATTTCTCTTTCTCCCCTTTTCCCCTTCTGCTAAAGAAGCTTTTGCTGAAAGCAGCGTTGCCTGAGTCGAGCCAGGAGGGGGAACGGCTCAGCTGGTGGTAAGAAGGTCATCCTTTCACACAGCTCTACCCCAGGTAAATCTAAAATTAGTTAAAAAAGAAAGAGCAGAATATATTCAGAGCAGGCAAAGCACTTACCAAAAGCTCAGGTCAAACAAACTTTCAATCAAAAAGACAAATCCTCCCCGTTACCAATTTGATTCTGCACTGTGGGATTTACAGGGGAAAGTCGTGTTTGAAAGGGCGCTGTGCAGAGTTAATCATGCAAACAGTGGGGGAAAGGAGCCAGAAATCCACACGGAAAGTAGGTTAATTTTTAAAAAGGCAACACATTTAAGAGGTTTGCAGTTTCCCCCGGGAAAACCTTGGCTCTGACAGGTAGGAGAAGATGAGCAAAGATGAGCTAAGGGCAGACGATCCCGTGCCGCAGGATCTGTGTTTAACCAATGCTCAAGCTGAAGATTTTGAAATGGGGGGGGCGCACAGACAGCACCATTCCCAGCTCCATCCCAGCGTCCTGCCACCCCAACTTCGCCCATGGCTACAAGGACCCGGGAGGCTGCCGGACAGACGTGGGGACTGCTCTGTCACACCTGAGCACACAGTTTGAACTGCCGGGAGGACACGATGGACATCACCTGAGACTGGTCCCTCTGCACATGGGCGACCGGAGCCGACATCACGGCCTCTGCCAGGGATCGGGCCAAATTAAACCACATCCTTGCCCTGACTCTGCAGAGCCCGGGATGCCCTGTCTCCACAACACATAAATACAGTATTTATCCCCAGAGTGACCACTTGCTCTGGGATTTTCCACCATCAAGTAGTTGCAGCCACGAGGTCTGTCCTAAGCGACCGGCTTCGAGCTCTGCATGGGTACTCTGCTGCTCTCTCTCTGCCGGGGGGGGAGGGCGAACAGCGTATGAGTAAATACCGTATGTTCAGAGAGGAGACAGAAGGGTATCTGGTGGTGAGCTCATCTTACATGCGCTGTCACACATACTCCTCCTCTGCCCTTCCCACTCGCTTTAGCCCCTCGCTGCCGCCGCCGATGGGAGTTCAAACACAACCTCACGGGGCACGGGGCTTCTGTGCTGCTGTCTGCAAGGCTTCGCACAGACGTGGCTCCGCAAACGAGATGGCAGCACGAAAACAGAGCCCGTTTCACCTCTCCGCACGCTCCTAGAAACCCCGACAAGAGCTTTGTGTGCTCTGGCTTCGTTTTGGCACCCTACGCACCGCGGGCTTGCTCTCGGGTCGTCTGGGGTGAGCTGTCTGGGCAACCCACATGTGGGCTCCAGGCGGGTACGGCACACGAGCCCGGAGCCAAGGGGTTATTCTGGGGTTACAGTCAGCGAGCAGGGAGCGGTTTCAGGGGGAGAAGCACACCGGAACGAAAAACAACACAGAAGAATGGGGAACGGCTACTCTCCTCGAGGACCGGAGGAGAAATACCCTGTTTGTGCTCAGATGCAGAACTAATGCCTTTCCTGGCAGCTGCAGACTACAGCAGCCTGAACTCCCAGGTCTTTGCTTACACAATCTGCAAGTACACCCTGCGGCACACTCCACAGGGACGGCACGGTTCGATGCAGAGCCAGTTAGCACCAGAGCTCATGGCAAAGCTCCTCTGGAGACACAGACCAAGTGTCCATTTGCCCACACACAACAGAAGGTTTCCCTTCAGCAGCGGTTGTTTACGTACCGCGTCTTTCTCAGGGTTGCAGACTTTCACCCAGAGGATGTGATCCAGCAGCCAGTCAATGGGTTTGTCCTTATAGAACATCAGGATGAACTCCACGATCAGGCTCAGATCCAGAGACTTGAACATTTTTCCTGCAGCACAAAGAAAGAGAGAAGAGAGAGCAGCTACGGTATGAAATGGTCAAGTACCAGAGGTGGGAAGAAAAAACCTGGGAGACTGGGCTGTGGAGGTTGGCTGTGTCCATCTCCCTACGTAAAGGAGACAGCACGCAGCTCTGTTTTAGGTACCAGTACCGCTGGCATTGCTAATGCAGTTCCGGATTTAATATTCACCACAGAATTAGAAAGCATTAGTGTCTCATAGGTCAAAAAAGCATCAAAAGGTCTAAAACTCTTCCATTCAGCAGGGAGAAATAAGGATGAAAAACATTCATCCAGCTGCAGGACAAACCATTTCCTGTCCCAAAAGCTACAAGTTTTAAGCCAGTCAAACTAGTATCCAAAATAACAGATCAAGCTGCTACTGCAGCCATGCACTGCCGTTCCCAGAATAGTTCTGTGCTGATGTAAACTTCCTTTTGCACGCTCTTAGGCAACTCCGGATCCCATCCAGCCTAAAAGCTACTGGTCACGTCTAAGCCGTTCGGCTGTCGGCTGGGCCACTGACCAGGTTTATTTTTATTAAAAGCGACTATCAGCGGTACCAGCTGTGAGGATCCTTCTCCCCTGTGCAAACACAAGGGTCATTGCGAAAACAGGGAGGAATCAAGTCCAAGTTTTCTACCACCTTGTGGGGACGACCTGTTGGACCAAGAGCATCAAGCACTTGCAAGACCCAGCAGGCACTTCTGCCCATGGCTGCCAGGACTGGGGTGAGCGGGGGAGAACGTTACCAATAAACCCCAGCTGAGAAAACTCCAGGATCATCCACTCCTCGGAGGGCTGCTGCAAGGCAAAGTTCTTCATCGTGCTGAGATAATTTGGTTTGGCCACAATATCATCTTCCAGCTGCAAGAGGAAAGGACACTCAGTGCCAACGACCCATCCAGGTTCCAGTCAGAGCCCCTCTGTGCAGAGCAATCACGCCGCAGACCGGAGGAAAGCTTTGGCACGGACCTAGTTTATTTTGGAAGATGCTCCAAGTGGATTTTTCTCACCCAATCTAACAGGTAAATGAAACAAGGAATCCTGCCCTCCCTAGGCAGGAGGTCTCCAAGCCTAAAGCATCTTAGAAACCCAGCTTTTGAACCTATCTGGCTAAGACCCGCTCCCACTCTGCTGCATCACACAACTGGAGAGGCTCTCTGCCCTCCCTCAGCTGGGTACACAGCGAGCTCACAGGGACACCCGTCTCCCCTCCGCCCCCCGCACCAAACCCACCTGCACGTAATAGATGCCTTTGGACTGGGCATACATCATTAAAAAGCAGTAGTCGAGGTTCTGCTTCGTCCTCCACCTGCAAGAGACAAACGCAATGGGAGCGCCGGTCTCTCCCAGGATACCGGGAGGCTCGGGGGAGCCAGCCCAGGCTGGGTTTAAGCCGGGAAGGCGACACAGCTCTTGGTGGAGGGGATGCGATATGACCTTGTCCTTTTGGTCTCAAACTGGTCAGCTAAGAGTTACTGGAAAACTCAGGGACTTCCAAAACAAACATCACCTGGGTTAAAATGACCCCCTCGCTTGGTGACGGAAACACCACAGCGCAAGGCAAGCCCTGCAAAGCTGGCGCCACGTCATAACCCCCACGCCACGTCCTCCCAGCTCCCGGATAAAGCAAGTTTAAGGGCCTCGCCTGGCCCCGCAGAAGAGCTTTCCCTGCTGAAGTCAGCGGGGGAGATGCTGCAGTTAACTTAAGTCAGGGCTTGCTTGTCTTTAAGCTCATTGATTCTTACCTGACTCTTTCCTTGGGGTCCCCAAAGGATTCCCGCAGGTGGGAGAAATCAGGATAGAAATGCGGAGATGGGGAAATTACCTCCAGGAGACCTGAGTGTATTTCCTTTGGGAATCTGAGGGAGAAAAGCAGCAGTAAACAAATGCCTCCATGTCTGACACACCATTTCACAGACCAAATCGCTGGGTAAACACTGAGCTGCAGAACCAAACAAAAAATACAGCTGATTCCAGGCCCCACTATAGGACACCAGCAGGCACCGCCACGGAGTTTTAAAGCTGCTTTCTCCCTCCCATGGTCTCTAATAGCCCCATGTTTGCGTGCTCCCTGCCAGCATCCCTCCTCCCTCCCGCACGCACACACGGGTCAGCTTTAAAGGCCAGCTGCGAGCACCGTATACTGGCGACAGGATTAAAGGGACCTGCAGGCTGGCACACCAAAGAAGGGACTTGCTGGCATTACCGGCATTTAGAGATTTTTCCAAATGCATCAGTAATTAAAAGCCATTTTGCAGAGATTATGTTATGCATTTCTGATAAGTTACCTAAAACACCGCTGAGCTGTAGTTAGGACGGCCAGCAGGAAAAAACTACCTAGCTCCCTTACGTTGATAAAATCAGCAGCTATTTTCCCTAGAATGCGGTTATGAACCCTTTCAAGAGTGAAAACTCAAAGGGAAAAAAAATATCACCCATCTGAAAAGGAGGTACCTACAACAGCCTTGCAAGCAATACCCAGAGATTACTGTAACTGTGAGAGATAAGCGGGAAAACCAGTTATTTTTATACTGCCTTTTTGAGAACATTTGGTGCGAGGCCGGTTTCCTTTGTTTGTGCAGAGCCTGGAGGACAGGCGATGGGGCAGAGGGAGACAAAGCAGCCAGACTGCCAAAAACTTCGCGCTTGTTTTTCCCTTCCTTCTTCCCTCCTTGGGACTGGCAAGATTTCCAGCTAACCTCTTCAAATCTTCCCTTCCTCAGCGAAACAGAAGCTTCTCACCAAGCCGACAAAACCTGTACCGAAGCAGCAATGGGTCTCGCTCCTGCCACATGAGCTCAGCCTGTCTTGGCCCCACACCACCTCAACCCAATTTGGAATAAAAATCATTTCAGTGGAGCGGGGAGGGGCAGGAGGCGCCCCCGGAGAGGGGGACAGCGAGAAATCAAATCATTCTGCCAATTAAAGTTTCAGGCCTTCTACGCAGAAGCGCTGCCTGCAGCGGCGCCCGGTAATTTCATCAGGACCCGTCGGACAATCAGCCCATTATCCCCCGCTAAGCGCGTCCTGCCAGCAGGCAGGAGGAGGGGAGCTCTGCCAGCTCCTGCACAGCAAGATGGAGGGCTCTGGGTCAGCTCTTCTGCAAGCGCCCGGGACCACGCAACCCTCCCCGTGCCCACCCCAGCCCCTCTCCCATCACTGGCTCGGGGATGCGTGGGCTGCCCTTCCGCGGCTCCTTCTTACGGCGACCGCGATCCTTTGGAAACACGCAGTCGCAGGAGCCGGACGGGAGCTGCAGCCTCTCCTCCCACCCCCTTTTTTTTTTGCCTCTCAGGTCGCAGGAGCCGGACGGGAGCTGCAGCCTCTCCTCTCACCACCTTTTTGTTTTGCCTCTCAGCTCTGATGCTGTTAACGCCTGGACCGGCTCACGGTTAATCATCGGTCACCGGCTTCTGCCCGAACAGCCACAGACGAAGCTGCAACAGCCACTAAGAATCCAGGACAGAAATAGCAGCCAGCGTTGAGAGACAAACGGAGCTAGCGCCTAGAACAAGGGAAAAACAAACAGGCTGGAGCAGGAAGAAAAACGGATCGTGGGTTTTACAGCTAAAGAAGGCAGGAGCGTTTGTGTGTGCTTGCCACGCTGCCCAGCTGCTCTGACTCGGCAGAGCAGGGAGAGGGCTGCACGGGCACAGAAACAACTGCCAGCATCACTGGAAAGCTAAATAATCCATCTTCTCGCAATGGCACAGGACAGAAAGAGCAGAACGAAACGGCATGACCGTGTGTGCTAAATACTGCGAGGACAAAGCTGCCTGTGGGATGCATTTTAGAACAAGCAGAAAGTGGAAGTGGCAACAGCAAAGGCAGCCCAGAGTTTAAGAGCAGGAAAAAACCCCAAACAACAACAAAATACAACACGGAAGCAGAAAAGCGTGTGTTTTCTCCTTAACGCAGCCGCTCCCCGGCCTCGCTGCAGGCACGGACCGTACGGCCGCAGTCCTCTGGAAGTGCTTACAGGTTTTTGATGTTTTCTGCCACGCCGGCTGTGTACTGCGGATCCGTCTGAAAAACCAAAGATAGGCAGTGTTAGATCCTCCAGCCTCAGCCCGCGCCTCCGTGGCTCAGAAATCACCTCGGACACAGCCCGGGGGTACTGTCAGCACCTCTGCACCGTCTTCACGCGTCTTCACGGCTCCTTTTATCGAGCTTAACCGCTCTGCCCAGGCTGACAGTATCCTATGAGCCCTGCTTTGTGGCCAGCGTTAACCAAAGGCACCACACCCCAAAAACCACCCCAACGGACTGCACATCTTCCCCCCGTGCTCTCCCGGCACTGCTGCCCCTGCCAGCACCACGCGCTTGCACAAAGCGTTAACTTCTGGGCTATTTATTTTCTCTCCACACACTGGCTTTCATCCAAGCGAGTACTCTCGGCAGAAAAGCATCTCCACCCCTTTTGTGAAAAAGAGGGGTCTATTTATAAGCGCGCATTTTTCATTTCAGTTTCCACGCTTTCCTCCCTAAAAAACCAGTTTGTTCCCACAATCGACCTGGCAACTTGGAACAGGCAGGAGGCAAAGGTCAGCAGCACCGCACGCCGCTATCTGTAGGTGAGATACGGGCAGACACGGGGACCGGCACCGGGCAGAAGCCATCTGCACCGTGACCGGGAAAACAAAACCCGAGAACAAAGGGCAGGAGACCCAGGAGCAAAAGCTGTGCCTGTTTCCTGGTGGCTGCATTGTTTTGGGAGGTTGTATGGATCACGGGACCATGCATCCCGGGCGGATCTGCAGACGCAGCGTGGCAGAAGCCGGGAGCAGCTGCTGCTGCGCTCGGCGCCGGGCGGAGGTGAGAAGTGAGACGCCGGGGATGGGTGTCACAGGCTGAGGCCAGTGCTTCCACACTGGAACGGTGACAAGGGAGGGTTTTCTCGAGACGAAAAAGGTCCCTTTCCCAAACAGGGCTCAGGCTCCTGGTGCTGGACAGATTTCTTACCCCAGTGCTGCCAAGAAAACGGCAATGGGAAAAACAAAGGCATGAAAGATGCTGCTGGCTTTGGGAGCAAAAGCAGAGCTCTGCTCCAAGCACCCGGCCGGCACCGAAATGGCAGGTTGGTGACAGCTGCGCTGGCCAGCTCGCCCCAGGGCCCCCGGCTCTCCCAGCACGATACCCGCCATGGGTAGCGGTGGCACTTGCAAATGAGAAGTCACCATCCCAGAAGGGACATTCAGTCGCCCGACTTGCCCTGAGTCTCCAATCCCAGAGCAGGCTTGGCAGGAGAGGACAGTGACGGCGATCTGCAACAACTACCATCGCTGTTACTGGGATATGGTGCGTGTGCTCCTCCACTTCACAGTATCAGAATTAATTTATTTGTTGTTCACTTTCCTTGCCACACGTACACACAGAGAGTCAGGAGCTGCCATCACTGCATGCACCCTATTTTCAACTAAGAAAAATACTACTGCAGTCCAAAACAGGAGATGTTTTCAGTCAAGTGACTTAAAATCTCTCATGCTCTAACTCACCCGCTGTGAAAACAGCCACCAAACGTGTCCCGGCTCCAAGGGAAATGACAGCCAGGACCAAACCTTGTCCCAGGCACTTCGGGCTGCACCCACCTGTGCACACCTTCTTCTTGTACGAAATACTACCAGCCAGAGACTCAAAAGCCACATGCTACTCAAAATGTCAAATCACGGGGAAACAGGCAGCAAACCCAGGCATTTATCTTTGTTCTGCTCCCAGCAACATGCCACTGAGGTTTCTCTTTCTCACCGGATTTCTGGAAATTAAGACAAATGCACTTTGAGCTCAAGAAAATAATCCTGAGGGGAAAGCCATGGAGAAAAATAACCATCTAAACCCATAGATAAAAGCAGCTCTTGCGGATTAATGTATCAAGGCTTTTTAGCCCCTGGATTCAGCAACTCATCCTGGGCTCCAGACACCAGTACAAAGAGGCGTATTAGTCTCAGCCCCAAATCAGCAGGCTCTTGGGCTTCGAGCAGGGGTTAGTGCTGTCTGACAGGTACGCGGAGGAAAGAAGCTGCTCCAGGAGCAGGTCTGAGAGCTCCCCTAGACATGGCCATGGGGCTGCTCCAGCACATTTTGGCAATGACCACTCAAGCACCTCGCAAGAGCCACCGCGATTTAGACCAGACGGACAAACGCACGTGCCGTACTGGCAGCCGCTAACGAGACACGTGTGCCTGCTCGCATCCTGACCCTCGCTGCCCCCCCTCGCCCCAGCAGGGGGCAGGGCTGGCCTCCAGGTGGGCAGACAGTGGGATGGACGCGATGGGATGGGATGGGATGGGATGGGATGGGATGGGATGGGATGGGATGGTGGCCAGGAGTGAATTGGCAAAGCTCTGTCTTACCTCAGCGATGAGGACGACGATGACGGAGTCCTCCTTCTCCTGCTGAGTGAGCTCCGAGATGAGGGAGTTGAGGGTGTCGGTGAGGTAGGAATGCACCTCCCGCTTCACGCTGGGGATTCCCATCACGACGGACACTGTCCAGGGCCAAGGAGAGATTTTAGAGAGGGGGATGTGCTGGGACAAGACACTTTGCTCCGCTCCTGTGACCGCCTCATGGTTCACCTGCTTGGTGCCACGTTCTGTCACTAAAAGCCAGCAGTGATCAGCATCATAGCAGGTTCCAGGGCTATGCAGGGTTCCCATACTCTTGTTCCCCTGCTCAGTACCAACCAGCAGTACCCCAGTGCACCAGGCTGGCAGGGCACCCATGGCACTCAGACAGACTGTTTCTTGTCTCCCTGAAAGACTGGTGCCTAAGGAAACACCCCAAAATTCTCCCCCTCCTAAGGGCCTTTTCAGCCTGTGAACATCAACTTCAAGAACACCCTTGTTCTCCAAACCCCTCCCATGGTCAGAAGCACCTCAGTTTGGGAGGGGTAAGTCAGGTCCTTGGCTTTGGGTTAGGACTTGGGAGAAGGGGGAGAATCGTCTAGTAACCAAAGTCCTACTCCAGATGTGATTTGTCTTGAGTTAGAGTCTCCATGAAGCACCCCGCAAACTGTGCTTTCATCTGACCACCTTCCAGGCAAAGTCTAGAGCACTCTGGAGATGGAAAGCAGCATAAAAAATCTGGCAGAAGCATCGAGAACTTTTTAGTGCCAGTCAAGAGCACAGACTGCACTCCCCTGTAGACTCACAGTTGTGACATGGCTCACCCACCCTGCGTGTCACGATACCAAGGAAGCTTGCATGACGCATGCAGCCGTTCCTCCAGTCCTGCTCACCTCCGTACCACAGCCAGGCCCGGAGGAAAAGGCAGGGACAGGCACTAAGGTGAGGAAGAGCTCCAGAAGCAGCACTAACTCCCATTTACCTCCAGTGCGCCCCTGTCCCACATGCACGGCTGGCTGCAGACTGTTCTCCTTTGACAGCAAATGTGGCAAATGATGGAAGATGGTGGGAAGGTGCAGCACATTCTTGTTGGTGATATTCCACAGTTTTAACTTGGTTTCGTCTTGAAAAGGAAAAGGGAATCAATTGCAAGGAATGGTAGGTAGGAAGAGACTGCAAGGCTAAAAGCCTTTTTGGAGCAGCCAGGCCACCCGAGACTACTGCTGCGTTGTAAAAAACCAGGCCAACCTTTAACATGCTAAGGAGCCACGAGGGCCTTAAGGAAGTCCCCAAATATTTGGGAATGAGGGGGGAGGATGAAGATAAAATGAAGGTCAAATCGGATCTTTCTATAGAGATCCAATTTTCTTCAACTGAGCAACTTAAAAAAACAGAAAGAACAAATAAATTGGCGAGGGGTGCTCAGCCAACCCAGCTCCTTCCTCCCCCCTCTCTTTGGATACCCATTTTCCACACGGATTCAACACGGCCATAGGAAACGGCATGTATGACTTGCAAGAAAAAAAAAAAAGCCTGCAAGCAAGCACACTGGCAATATCCGCAGCAGAGGCAAATCTCAGTGTTTAATGATGCATCTGCACCTCTAATTAAACAGGAGTTTAAGAGTTCCCAGGTGCCTCTGAACTCCACAATTTGCTCGCGCCGAGAGAGAGAAGAGCAGGTCCTGTCCGCAGCCCTGCACACACACACACGCACACCTCTCTACCTCCTCGTTAGCAACTGCTTCACAGCAGCCCGAGATCCTCAACTTCTCTGTTTATTCACCAGATAAGCTGCTCCAGGTCCGGTTTATATCCCGCAGGGCCTGCTTCTCCGAGATGGCTCTCTTGATCTCCTCCAGGACCAGGTTGAGCTCCTTTGAGCGCTTCAGGCTCTCCTGCTCGGCTGCGTGCAGTCGGTCTCGGAGGGCGAGAAACTCCCGCTGGTAGATGTCCACAACGTCACCTGAGGATGGAAAAGAGGGAGAAGCTTTCTCCTCCGTGCTCTGAAGGGCTTCATGTCACAAAAGCAATGCCCATCACTCATACCTCCCCTACCTCCACAATCCTTAAAACATGGATTTAGGGAGTTGTGGTCCAGCACACACCCATTGGTTGTGTTGGAGAGAGGGCAGCTTAAGTTGCAGAACTACAACTGAAAAGCTCCTTCCATTTTTAACTTGGGTTTCGGGGTCATACAGAAATACGGCATCGCTCTTTGCGACTAAAGCATGCAGGAAAAAATAAGCTGCATGACAGTTCTTCACTATCTACTCGGAAAAAGGAAGCCAGCTGTTGGCATTAATTTTATGAGCAATGTTCTGCATCTCTCTACAGCTCCAGAATTTTGAGCGCATGAGATGGTGACCGCTGGAGTGAGCAGCAGGAAACTAGTCAAGTGAAAAAGAGCTGAAAGCATTCATGGTCATGGCCTGTTAATGCCATGATGAACCCAAGGAATATCAATACTTTTAATTGCCTTGCTCTTTGCTTTGGTTCCCTTGTGGTACACAAAGGAAAGAGTTTTAAGAGCAGAAGGGTGTTCTGAGTGAGTAATTCAGGAGAACTCCCGGCCAGCATCTCCAAGGCCTTCTCCAGATGGCACGGGGCATCTCCCAGGTGACCCCGAGTGATGGAAAGTGAGATGCTGGCAAGGGGGACACCACTCTGCAGCGAGACGAGGGTGGGCACAGCACCTCCTCCAGCTTTGGAGTAGAATCCCAAATTCTAATGGCCAAAAGGGATTTTGGGAATCTAAGCTCTCCGAAACAAAGCAGGATAAAGAATATCACATGGCATTAGCTACCTGGATGCTTATATAAATCCGAATATTTAGATACGCACCTTACGGATGCATCATAAATGTAACACATAAAACATAAACTTTTAATAGGGTAATAAAGCTTTTTATTTTGAAACAACATCTTAGCACCATGCCTTTTTTAAGCAATAAAACTATCGAGACCGTTCAGCCGGAACTAACTACACAACAGCTGGGAGTGGAATTGGTTAGCCATTAATGAACTTTCCTGGGCTGTTTTTTACCCCATTATTAACAAAACTACTCATTAAAAATACACTTTTATCTGTGGTCACGCCTGTGTTTTCGGTAAGGCTGTAACTCACAGGACTACACCCAAAACAAATTTATCCACTTAATAGTAGACCCTTAGCCCAAACACGACCGGGAGATCTAATGACCAAAAGTACTGCACTGGAGCTTCCCAACACAGGGCTAAACATAAATCAGAGCCATTGAAAAAAGACACACTGACTGCATTGACAACTTCTAATTTGGGGCCCAGAAAGAAAAAGAAAGAGGAATTTTGAAGATGAGACATACCCAGCTCCAAAGCACAGAGTTTCCAAGACAAGAGTGCTTCCCAGTCCAGCTCCCGTCATTGCTTTTGCCTAGGAAAAGTTTGCCCCATGGCAAACCCCATGCCCCATGGTCTCTTCCCCCCCAAAAAAACCTTCTTAAAGACTTACTGCTTCAACACAAGGGACCCCCCCACCCGGGGCAGTCTGGCTCCTGTTGACCTTGCAGCATGACTTTCAAAGCCACTGGCACACGAGAGGGAGCAGAGGAAGTTACACCCATTTGGTTCCTCTGTCCATCTGACAACGTGTTATTCAGAGAAAGCTGAGGGACAGACATAAATAAGACCAATCTTTCCTTTTTCCGGTGCGGTGCCGCTCGCTTTCCAACCCCACCGAGAAAACATCTTAAAATTCGCAGAAAAAACAGATTAACTCCCAGCTTCGAGAGCTGCCGTGGGAATTCACAGGAGGATGTCAGGCTTTAAATTGACTCCACCATCAGCTAGACCTTCTCCTCTGGGTACCTCTCAGCCATGAGTATATACCTTTCAGCTTCCCAGTACTCTAGATTACAGGTTTTCCCACTCATATCTTTCACTGGCAGTATCTGTGAACAGTAGCAAGGAGCAAGTCTCGCTCCTCGCTTTTGCACAAAACGATGGCAGGAGCTGCGCTTGTGCAAGGCTGGAAGCATTTGGCTCTCGGCATAGCGGGGGGTTACCATCCCGTGGATGCTATCAGAGCCAAATCACTGCTAAAGGCGGCCGTTAGATCCTGCGCTGCAATACCTGGAGCAGAGTAAAGGCAAGGCTTTGCACTTAATGGCTTTTTCCAGAGCATTGCACTTCGTTTGTGTCAGATTTAGAAGGGAAATGTCACTGATTATTCAGTCGCTAATGACCTGCCCGCCGAAGCCAAGAGCGGTACTTTTCATTAGACTGCAATGGTGATGTGCAGTCAACCATTTGCTGCTTTTCTGGCTAATGGTTGGAAGTGAAATTGTATTTGTTTCCAGCGCTCTTGTCCTATGATGTCTTTGTAGGCTCTCCATTCTTTAATTAAAATTTCATGAAATTTAAAAGCTGATCGATCTTGACTGGTTCCAGTGACAGCTTGAGCAGTCCGAGACAAAGCCCAAGATGGGCTTACAGTTTCCCATGAATTTCCAGTAATGCCATTTTGCGCTCGTTGGTCCGCAATGACACACGGATGCAGATCCGCCATCCTCGCAAAGACCCTCAGCGGCTCAGGCAGGGAGGGCTCTGAAAAGCCACAAAGGGCAGCAGAGGATAAGGGGGGGAAACTGGCTCCCATCTCCACAAGCAAGGCTGGACACAGAAGTGATTTGCTGCTAATCAGGCTGAACAGATTTTTCAGCTGGTGTCAGTTCAGCACAGACCCTTTACTCACCTTTCAAAGCAGCAGTACTCCCTGTCTATGTATTTATTGTATTCCCTCCCAGCACAAGAGAGCAGAGCTCTCAAAATATCTCCAGACTCCAGCATTGCAGGACAAAACCTCCTAGCTATAACTGTATTAAAAAAAAACACCAACTCAGCTTACTTTTTCTTGAGAGATAACACATTGCTTTGGGCTTAAAATACACTCGTTTAATAAAGCAAGAAAGTCGGTGCTGGGTGACGGTCTGCAGGACAGACCTGGGAGATCAAAAACCTCTCACGCTTGCAGCACACATCGTGCATGCCCAGTGCCCTGCGAATAACCCACTTCTCACCTTGCCATGCCTCATCTTTGCAATCTTTCGCAAGCCGTCTTCAGAAACAGGCTGGCTGCAAGGCTCCGAGCGCATCGGGCAGCTCCATCCAAACCATCTCTCTGCAGGGCAGAGCAGGCAGAGCTGGGCACGGCCGAGCACCGGCTGCCATCTGCCCATCCCGGCGCTCGCTGGAGCCGATCTGGGGGGTCCCTGGGGAGGGGGGCACCCGTTCTCTCTCCAGCTGAGAGCCCTGGGCTGGGTTTGCTGAGCAACATGGTGAACCACTGGTGAAGCGGCAGGCAGGGACGGCTTAACCGGGCTCCTTTGCCGGCAGCCGGGATGCAGCGGGGCACAGCGGATGGGCACACGCTGGTGGGGCTCATGGGCTGCTCCTCAGGAGCCTTACGTGGGGTCTGCAGAGCTGATCTCCTGCAGCCATCCCCAAGGTTTTCATCCATCCAAGGCAGCATCTGTTTAATAAAAAATACTTCTCCCTGATGGAGAATTCTGTGGCTTCGTTCTTATTTAAGTGACTATCAAGTGCAAACCATGTTTGCTAGCAGAGGTGAGGGCTGGGACGTCTGCATGCACTCCGGTTACCCATTTTTGGGTTTTGAGTGGAAGCAAAATACCTAATCTCATCTTAAACTAGCAGATGGACACCAAATCAGACCACCACTGATAAAACCCCCACCCTGAAATCTCACACGGTCATCCATACACATACCTACATATACAGTCAGGAATGTTGTAATTCTGTATTCTGCATTAGTCTTTCAAATTGCACTCCAACCTCCCGGGGAGCCTGTGGTGCATTTTAAACGTGTCCGTATTTCAGGACCAATTACTTTTGGTTTTGTGCTCTGCAGTGCAGATCACCTCTCCTAGCAGAGGGGACCCATGGCCAAAGCCAGAGATTTCCTTCCAATTCGATCTTTTCAAAAGCAAATGCAGAGTGTTTGCTAGCTGGATTTACTTCTCGTTAGGAAGACTTTCAAGAGAATTTGTTTAAAAACTAAAAACAACCCCCAAACCTCTAGGCTGTTTATCTTTATAAAATCTTGGCTTCCAGAGCAGAACTGCACCTTTTTTTGCTGCAAGAGTTCCCAGGGCCAAAAGAGCCGAAATAAAGTGTAGTCAGTCCCCAGTTCACAGCGCAACTGGAGCTGGAGTAGCACACTAAACTGACTACAGAAAATTTATCTGCAATGACTCTTCTCCTCCGTTTTATTTAAAGCACCCCTTTAACCAATAACTGTTCCTCCTCCAGGACTTGCAATGGCCTGGGGGGACTCCAGAGCTCACAAACAACCCCCTCCCCGTGCTACAGCATCTACATTATACGAAAAGGCAGCCGGCGAAGCACGGGGAGCCAAGCCGGCGAGCCATCCCGCCCCAGCTCCCCACCGTCCCCAGCCCAGCCAGCAGCCTGCGCTCGGCTTCGTCCCCAGCCATTTACAGACGCTCTTGGAGTTGGAGGATGATTAGAGAGTTGTTGTTTTTTTTCAGGTTTTGATGTTTAATGATTTATAGAACGCTGGCTCCGCTCCACACATTACACTCTAGATTGCCCTGATTGAATTGCAACATTCATTAGGTATTTTGCTAACAGAATTTCGCCAGACCATTAAAATGGGTATAAGGAGTTACCGCGCCATATCGGTGAACTAAATTCAGTTCCTGAGATGCGAAAAAGGATAGTCCTGCTTTACATGGAAATCTGATGCCTTGTGTAGCTTACAGGTGTTAGACACCTTGCACACAGGTACACAGGGATTGGCAGTGACCCCACAACAAACATTTTATATCATCAAAAGCAAAATATTGCCTTTTGCTTCTCTGGCTGTAGAAGGAAGACACCAGCTTTAGAGATACACCATAAACCAAGCCCCAGAGCATCCCTCAGAAAGCCCCATGGAAGCGACCCTGCTGGGGGGTGTGGAGCTACAGGTAAGCTGTGACAGTAAAACACTGTCTTCGTTAGCAGAAAGAAAAAGAGAGGATAGTTCAGTATCCAAAATGCCACCGCAAAAGCCACCGCCCTTGCCAGGCAGGACGAAGATTGCGCACGTCTTTTCCTTCAAATCTAAACAAACACTAACGGTTCTCCTGTAAGATGAGGAAGATGAGAGATGGATTGTCTGCCTTTCCATGAGCCAGCAGACCATTGTTCCCGGTCTTAGACTCATCTTTTAAAATCATAAATATTTAGGCAGCTTGGGATATATGCAGCCACCGAGAACTTGGTTTGCCTTAAGGAGCTGAGCACTAAGACATGCCGAGCAACAAACCAAACACAGTCAAGGCCAGATTTCAGGGACTGGACGCTATCTGGCAGGGTGGACCTCCCGAAAGGCTCCAGCAGTTGCAACTACCCTGCTGGGGGCTGCTCCGTCCCCACAGCAGGAAAGGGCATTTCAGCAGGGCCACCGCCACACAGCAAACATGGATGCTTCATTCAGTAAACACTACGCGACATTTACAGCTCCACTATGCCCCAAACCACCGAGTCAAAATAGACATTTTCTAGCTGCTGCTTATAAAAATACACCTTGAGTTTCTTTATGAGTTTCTTTGTAAGTTTCTTTTTTTTTTTTAAGAAAAAAAGGTTCTAAAGAAAAAACCAAAGTTTTTAAAGAAACTTTTTCAAGTTTGTTTACTATACTGTGTTATTAATTTGTGGTTAACACCAAGACAGAAATAATACGGAAAGTAGAGTCCTTAGTACCACCAGGAAGCTCACCATTATTGGGAAAATAGCTGTAGGTGTGGAGAGCAGCAGGCAGGGCAGGGAACAGGGAAGGCAGGAGGCAGCGTGTGGGTTTCCCAGCTCAAAGCCAAGGGGCTGTGTTAGATGATGCTGGCACAGGCACTGATGGGACAAAACCCACAGTCACCGCAACAGCCACAGGCAGCCAAAGCAGCCATCAAAAATAGCAGCTATGGTTTAGTTTCGTGTGTTCATCCTCTGCCCTTTACAGAATCCCAGCACGGCAGGGGTTGGAAGGGACCTCTGTGGGTCACCCAGTCCAACCCCCTGCCGGAAGGGACCTCTGTGGGTCACCCACCCCCCCCCCCTGCCGAAGCAGGGTCACCCAGAGCAGGCTGCACAGGACCTCATCCAGGCGGGGTTTGAACATCTCCAGAGAAGGAGACTCCACAACCTCCCTGGGCAGCCTGGGCCAGGGCTTCATCACCCTCAGACTGAATAAGTTCTTCCTCATGTTCAGCTGGAGCTTCCTCTGCTTCAGTTTGTGCCTGTTGCTCCTTGTCCTGTCGCTGGGCACCACTGAACAGAGTCTGGCCCTGTCCTCCTGACACCCACCCTGCAGATATTTATAAGCATTTATAAGGTCCCCTCTCAGCCTTCTCCAGGCTGAACAAGCCCAGCTTCGTCCACCTTTCCTCGTAGGAGAGATGCTCCAGTTTCAGTTTGTTTCAGTTCAGTTTCTTACACTTTGTTTCAGTTCAGTCACTACCTACAGTGTGTGCTATCCTGAGTCGGGGCCAAATAATGTATTTTGATGCCACCACCACTCCAAGGCACGCCTCGGTGCTATCGCTACGCGCCCACTTAAGAGCCTGTGGTCAAGCCCTGTCCCGAGCGGAGGCAGCGCCGTTCTGCAGCATCAAGGTCTATGCTGTGTTACAAAAACCAGTACCCAACCTCCAGGTCCAGTAAAAGGCGCTGGTCGATGGCAGCAGGAGCGATCCTTGGCAGCCAGCGCCCACCCAGCCGCTCAGCCCAGCGCCGCGGTCGGCTGCAGGGTTTGAGCATCCCACCACACTACCGTCACGCCGAGCCAACACATCAGCCGGCGCAAGAGGCTGACTGAAAGTCAGCCTGTCTGAAAAAATGATCCTCAAATAAAGAAAGCGCTTCCACCGACTGCAATCTGGTGTGTGTTTTGTTTTTTTTAATATAGCCATTTAATAAGAGCATGTGGTATATTTCACAGCATTTCAACCTTCAGCAGCTCCACGTAACGACACAGAAATGCAACGCATGTCTCCGCTGACGGTCTCTACCCAGGGAATATGGGCACCCTTAAGTCACCATTTCTTCTTTTTGCAGCAGTAAGTTTTGATCATATTCCTGTTGCACGTCTCCTTGCTGGAGTTTAATGTTGTCTCAGCACAGACGTTCGCAGAAGGAGAGAGGAAAATACGCATCCCCTGTGCCTTATTATTCCAAAGTAGGAGCAACTGTTTGCATTTGAGATTCAGTTCAGACAACATTCACAAAGATCCTTCCAAAAATAAACTTTTTTCTTGCTTTTAAAGTCTCAAGCAGTAAGTTTTCAAGGGAATGGGGATGAGTAGATTTCCCATTATGGGGATGATGACCCACAACATGGATGGCGAATATTATAATTCCCCTTCCGAGGAGCAGAGCAAGTCGCAGGCGTGCCCGCACCCAGACCCAAAAAGCTCCCCAGGGAGCTGCAGGAGGGATGCAGGCTCCAATGCAAGGATGCAGAAACTCAGAAATCAGGAAAGCAAACAGTGATGCCCATCACCTATGCCTAAATTCTCTTGGACCAGGGGAGAGGAGGCAGCAGCAGCCGTCAGACCGCTCTCAGGTACCTGCAGAGCAGGTTTGGGATCTCCTTCCACAGCCCAGCTCCACAGGTGAATCCAAGATCCCTGCGAATCCCCTGGGTTTTACTGTGCAGCAAAACAGCAGCGCTGGTGGGCAAGGACGTCCCCAGTAGGTATAAACCACCGTCAGCTTCTGCAAAAGGAACTAGTCCTGAATTTTCCTGGGGTTTCATCAACCCGTTCATGGGATTTAAGGAGATGGAAAAATTAGATGGCAATTCCTTTTGCTGCAAAACAGCTCAGGAGGAGAACGGAAGAGGCGAATACTGCCACTGACCAGAAGAGAAAGAAGATGGAATTAAATAGTGAATTTTCATCCTAGCAAAAGGTTAACTATCAAGAAGAAGCCATATGGATTGGTATTAAACCCACTGTCTAATAGATTTAGTGAGGATCTGGAGAAGGAGATGAATTTGTGAAGTAGCCAGATACAGAGCTGACATGGAGATAAGTTCATCCGAGCCAGAAAAGAAGCAAATGACCAGGAGAAA